ATAGTAGTACAACATCTCTGAAAGAACAAAGTAATTGCCTTGATCTGCGTCATCACACTAAATACGAGCTTGACATTGTGAGCTTTACCACAGCAAAAGCAAGTCTACACCCTCGGAGAACGACCACATTAATAGGCTTCGCTGGAGCCATAGTTCTGCAGGATGCGCTCCTCAATTCCATCCAAGATGCAGAAGTGCTCCATGACCGCAAGGTTCTCCGCCTCATTCTGATACATCTTATCGGGGTCCTGACCCGGCTGGAAAGGGTTCATGCCGGCCGCAGGGTTCATACCAGCCATCTGTTGAGCCATTTGGCTGGCAGCTGTTTTGCATACCATCGATTAGCACAAATCATTCCCATTAACCCTTACACAAACACAAAACCGTGTCGCATGCCGAGAACTTGACTCACCATTATCGCTCCCCAAGATAAACCCAAACACAGACTGCAGCCCAAACAGATTCAAAAAGTACCAGGAAAGACTCGACACCCATCTCACATCCAGATCCCGAGTCATCACACCGGACTGTAGCATCGACTTAAACCGAATGGTAAGAGGGAAGGGCAATTTCACTTTGCATCGGCCCCCCAAGTCAGCTCTCGAGCCCGACAACCACACACAAAGGAGTAAACTAGAAAACAAGAACTTACAAATCACAAACCCCGAAAAGAACGCATTGATCCAGCTCATGATCAACGTCTGCGGGATCATCATCATCATGTTCCCCTTCATCATGCCCATCATCGCCTCCATGCCCGCGGGATCCGTCATCGGGTTCGCCGGCGGCTGGCCGCGGTTCTCCGGGTCCTTCAGGAAGGCCCCCTCCTGGTAGGCGGAGATGAGGTACTTGCGGCGCATCTCGCACGACTCCGGGCTGAGCACGTAGGCGTTGTTGCGGAAGTTGACGCCGCGGATGAGGCCCAGGCGTTCGCGGGATTCGGCCAGCGTCGCGGCGGGTTTCGGCGGGTTGTTCATCAGGACGGTGGCGTAGTGGCGGAGGATACCGGTGAGGATCTTAATCGAAGTCTTAGCGGTTTGTGAAAGAAGGTAGTGTAGTCAAATAGGGTTGACGAAAGCTTACCATGACAATCGTAATGGGGAATACGATCCAATAGCTAGGTCGAGTCAGCTTTCGACTTGCCCACGCCAGGTTCCTTAATTCGTCTGGAGTTGGGGATCAACGACGTACAAGAGAGCGGGATCCCGAAGGATCGTCTGCTCTACCCCCTGCAATGCCATTTGAACTGATAGGTGGTTGCAAGAGAAGGGGGAAATCTCGTCGCTCAATTCGAACTAAGAAGCTGAGTGAACTAAGTTGAGGGAAACGGGGAAGCTCCCCCACGGAAGTTGGATGGGGTGGACGGGCGGCGGCGGCCTTACTGCCTTGGCGCATGCCGCTTTAGCTTGCAAAAGGGACAGCTCGCCGCAACTCCGACAAAGACCGCCGCGTCACCTCTCAAATTATCTCAAGGAACGTCAACTACCAGAAGCTTAGCCCTCTGGATTACAAGAATTGCTAGTATATTGACCTACCAAAAAGGGGACTCACCAATGTCGTCCGCAGAGGCACCCAAGGTGCCTGTTTATTCGAGCAATGGTTAGTTGATGCATGCATGTTTACTTCATAAGCCTGCTGCTCGAATACTCCCACTGCAGCAGTAACAGCTTGCCCACTCCCTCTGTGATCAAGGCTACATCGTTGATTGAAGCCACTTCATACTAACAGCCCTACGATCAGATCTGAAATCCACCACCGACGATGCCCTGGCACCGCACCTCACCACCCTCCCGCAACCCTACCGATTTACCCAAGACAACACCATGCTGAACGTGCGCTTGGTGCTGGGCTACGCGGCCGTCGCCATCGCCGGGTTCACCTTTTACGCAGACCGCATGCTGAAGTGGGAGGCGACTCGCTCGCCGTGGATCCTGGCGGCCGTCGCATCGTACTTCATTCTCAATTCCCTGCTCACATACTGGATCTGGGCCGTCGAGGCGGGCGAGGTGTTTCGAGGCAAGCGCAAGTCGGGTGAAACGGTATGTTCATTGGACCCCTGCCCCCATTGCATGGAATAGAAACCAAACCATTCGAGAGTGTCTGTATGTGGGGGCTAATGCTTGTTTTGTTGCTACGATAACTTTAGATCATAATCCGCTCCTCCGTCAAGAAGCATTCCCCGCTTTACAAGCTCAAGGTTCAGTACACGTCCCCGGCGGGCAAGGTCATCCAGGAGAAAGAGATCGAAACGTCGTTCACGAAGTGGTTTGCGGCCGACGGAACGTTCCACATCCAGCCGCTCCGCGACTGGTTGGCGAGCGAGATTGAGATTCTGCGGCTTGCGGCGAATGAGATTCAGAGGAAGACTGGCGGTGTTGCGAGTCATGTCGCTGTTCAGGAGGCGGAGCAGGTTGAAGGGGGCAAGAGTGCGACGAAGAGGAAGTGAAGAAACATGACGTATAAGCCCTCCTTTTTACCACAAACAGAAACATCTGGGGTGATTGGATCTGCATGTCAAAATGGCGCAACGTCTGGGATTGTATCTGGTGTGATGTCAGGCTCTCTTTTCCAAATCTCATCTTGCGGGGTTTTCTTGCGATAGTAGCTTGACTGGGGTTTGAGAACAAAACCACCTTCCATGGCATGCATTCAACGGTATTGTCTTTGTAGCGCTAGGGTTACCCCCCTCCCAGACTTTTCAATCCACAAATGCTCATAATCAAAACAGCGCAACAGTGTCGCATTGACAAGGTGATTTACATGAAGGGTTCATCAAGCTCAAACAGCATAGAGGAATGTAAGAAATCTATGGCTAACTCTGCTATATCGTCTCTCGGTGTTGTATTTTTGTGGAATGAAAAAGAGGTATCGCCACTGAGGGTTTTTTACGAGGCAGCTTCCAGAGTGCCCGGGCGCTCAGTGGCCTCGGCGGGTTTCACATCATCCATTCTCTTGTTCTGGATGAGTCTCTGTGTGTAACGGTGAGCTGCTGGACTCTTCATCAAGATGATGCGAGAATGTCCTACTTACCAACAGGTTTCTAAGCAAGACAACGATCGTCACCTTTCCAGTGGAAGGCACGAAGATGGACGCCTTCTCCTTCACCTCGGGTCCGAAGTTCTGTTTCACATCAATGTCAGATATATCTGCAGTATAAAGATAGACCTCTATGGATCGATTGGCAAACATACCTTCTCGCTGGAGAAGTTGACGCACACAGCACCCTCTCTGAGAAGGCTGGTGTCGAACTTGTACTTCTCACCGGGGACACCGGAGATGACAACATCACAGAGGGGCACAACGTCCTTCAGGGTCTTGCCTTCGAGCTCCACGACCTCGTGTCTGCCCTTCTTCAGGCCCTCACCACGCGTGAACTTCTGGATGCCGTTGACGTCGACACTGTACACGCAGGCACCATCGTTGGCCAACAACGCGGCGAGCGGGCGTCCCACCACCTCGGAGCGGTTCACCACGCAGATGGTGTGGCCGAAAAGACGGTTGCCGTAGGGCAATATCGTGTTGTAGATGTTCAGGTACTCGAGGATCTTGATGATGGCCAGGGGAGTGCAGGGGAGGATGCACTTCTGACGCTTGGTTTCCGGGTCCAGGAAGCGGATGTTCTGGTACATGTTGAAGATGTACCGGTGGGTGAGACCCTCTACATCTTTGGATACGTCGACGATCTGCTGCAGGTACTGGTCCTGGCGGTTGTTGAAGATGGGGTAGTATACGATGATGCCGTCAACATCGGGATCGACGTTGGCATTGAGGATGGCTTGCTCGAGATCGTCCCGGGCAACTTCACGGAGGGAGTAGCGGAAACCACTATACGATAAAGAAACAAAGACTACATTAGCTACGACGTGACTCATATATGACCCCCGATGCCACCGCTTGCCGCACCGGCTCCGACATCGCAGATTGGGGGAGTCATAGGGGCGACGCTTCAGAAGAAAGAAACGGAGACGCCCAACGAAAAGAATATGGGAAAGAGTGCTCACTTTTCGATGCAAGTCTTCTCCGTCCATTGGGCATACATCAAAGCCGCAGGGTCGTTGTTTGCAAGGAATCCGACCAGGTGAGGCGGCTTCTCAAGCATCTTCACACCCTCCTGGACCTCCTCGAGCAGGCGATTGGCAACATGCTTGGAAAGCATGACCTTGCAGGAGGCCGGAGCCGAGTTTGTAGCAGAAGCCATCTGGGCGATGATAGAGAAATTGTGCAAACAATTCAACAAAGTCGATTGGTAGCCTTTTGGGTGGATTGAGATGGACTATGGTTGGAGGGGTATGGAAGAAAAATTTGGGATGGAAAGACCGCCGCTCGCTTATCGATAAAAAAAAAGGCATGCCCGCATTCGGCCGCCCATCGGAGCCAGTCATTGAAGGACCAGCGCACTATTCTACGAATTGAATTAGCCTGAGCAAGAAGTATCTAGTAGTGCAGATATTCGAACTAAATTGGTGGAGAATCTGGTCCCAAGCTCTTACCACATGGAAACCAGAATCAGACAGTAATTAGAAACCGGGGCAATGCGCGGCAATGCCGTGCCCGGTCCATGTCTGCTCCTTCGATGCCGAAATCGATCTCGCCCTCTACGTTTGCCCCCTTCTTTACCCCGGATTATTGACAAGATTGGAGATTGGGGCTTCGATTACAGTCCCCACCGGAGAGACTGGCAAGCCGGTCAAAGGAACAAAAGAAATCATATTCAGGCTGCATATATGTAGACAATGGCGGGATCATGGGCAAAGACCAGCTGGACCATTCCGGATCCAAAGTCATTGAATCTGTTCCCACTACCCCTTTCATTTGTCGCGCGAAAAGATCTAAACGTACAGGATATTAATCGTATCTTTTTGCCTTCCTCGTCCCACCGTTTTACCTTGCGTCATAGCTACAGAATATCAGATGGGTATACCATCAGGAAAGATGCGGTTACATCCAGCGCCGTGTTCGACCGATCCGAAGCTCCGGGTTTTAACAACAAAACAAAACAATGGTCTCAAATTGTACAAGCTATCTTGTCTATACAGATAGAGTCAGGATAAAAACAGTACACGGTGGACTAATCACCCAGAGGCCATTTGCTCACCTATGCGTTGAAGGACTTGTTGAAGTTGACAATGACCTCCTTGAGCTGAGCCTCGAGGTCCTTGCTGACCTGGCCCTCCTTCTCAATGGTCTCCTGGATCTCGGGGTGGTTGCTCTTGAGGTGAGCAAGGAAGTCGGACTCCCAGGTGAGGATCTTGGCGACGGGGATGGAGTCAAGGTAACCGTTGACACCAGCGAAGATCAGGGGAACCATGTCGGGGACGGACATGGGAGAGTACTGCTTCTGCTTGAGAAGCTCGGTGAGACGCTCACCACGGTTGAGGGTCTGCTTGGTGGAGGCATCGAGATCGGAACCGAACTGGGCGAAGGCAGCAACCTCACGGTACTGAGCCAAGAACAGCTTCAGGGAACCGGCGACCTGCTTCATGGCCTTGACCTGGGCAGCGGAACCGACACGGGAGACGGACAGACCGACGTTAATGGCAGGGCGGATACCCTTGTAGAACAGCTCAGCCTCCAAGAAGATCTGGCCGTCAGTGATGGAAATGACGTTGGTGGGAATGTAGGCAGACACATCACCACCCTGGGTCTCAATGACGGGGAGGGCAGTGAGGGAACCACCACCGTGCTTGTCGTTCATCTTGGCAGCACGCTCGAGGAGACGAGAGTGGAGGTAGAAAACGTCACCGGGGTAGGCCTCACGTCCAGGGGGACGACGGAGCAGAAGAGACATCTGACGGTAGGCGACGGCCTGCTTGGAGAGATCGTCGTAGATGATGACGGCGTGGCGGCCGTTGTCACGGAACCACTCACCCATGGCGCAACCAGTGAAGGGAGCAAGGTACTGCAGGGGAGCAGCCTCGGAGGCGGTAGCAGCAACGATGATGGAGTACTTCATGGAGTCGTTCTCCTCAAGGGTCTTGACGAGCTGAGCGACGGTGGAACGCTTCTGACCGACGGCAACGTAGATACAGTACAGCTTCTTGCTCTCGTCGCTGGAGGTGTTGTTCCAACGCTTCTGGTTGAGGATAGCGTCGAGGGCGACAGCGGTCTTACCGGTCTGACGGTCACCAATGATCAACTCACGCTGACCACGGCCGATGGGGACCATGGAGTCGACACACTTAAGACCAGTCTGGACGGGCTGGTTGACGGAGTGACGGGGCAAGATACCAGGGGCCTTGAGCTGAGCACGGCTCTTGGCCTTGGTGTTGATGGGACCCTTGCCATCGATGGGGTTACCGAGAGCGTCGACGACACGGCCGAGCATCTCAGGACCAACGGGAACATCAACCTAATTGGAGGTATTAGCATAAATCCGGGTCAAATGGCTTGAAAATCGGGTTCAAATGGTAACATACAATCTCTCCGGTACGCTTGACAGTCTCACCCTCCCTGACGAGACGGTCGGAACCGAAAAGCACAACACCGACCTGGCCGGCTTCGAGGTTCATGCACATACCCTTAACACCGGAGGCGAACCTGGGGAATTGTTAGTGACCTGATATATCATTTTCTCAGTAGTAAGGGGGTGCACGTACTCGACCAGCTCCTCAGCCTGGACGTTGGTCATGCCATGGACACGAGCGATACCGTCACTATTGTCATAATCGTGTTAGTTGGGTAGGATTCCCCCGATAGAAATGTTGACGGCCGAAGTTTGGATAGTTTCTCGATGGTTTCTCGATGGATTCGATGATATTGAAGGCGCGTCCAAATTTTTCACCAGAGGGATTTCGTCACGTACCCGACGGAAAGGACACGTCCAGTCTCGGCAAGACCAGCCTCCTCCTGAACACCACGGATTCTCTGCTCGAGGATGGAAGAGACCTCAGTGGGAGAGGCCTTGGCCTCAGCAGCATAGGAGCGGATCTGCTTGGAGGCACCAGAGATGGGGCCGGGAACAGCGGCGCGAACCTGAAGACGTAGGCAAAATTTGTCAACACCACAACCACGCAGTCAAAACGCGTCAAAAGCTGATAGCATGCATTGCGATGGGTAGAGAGGCGATTGGAAGTATCATTGAGATGACTTCCCCGATGTAGAAGGTCGAATTGAATGGACGATGTCGACTTGGGACAGGGATGAGACTCACGGAAGCGATTCTGCCAGTGGCAGAGGCAGCCGCAACGGTGCGGCTAGACTGCCGCAAAGCGTTCCTGAACATTGTGAAAAGGGTTCAGAGGTGTGGGAGAGTGGTTTCTCTGAAGGAGAGATGTAATTGGGGGGGGAGGGGGGGAAAGGGAAGAAGAGGAGAAAGGATTGTGGATGGAGGAGAGGAGAGCTTTGTCGTCGGGGTTGGGAGGGATTCTCTCTCAGAACTGGCACTAATCCTAGTTTGCCGAGCCTCACCAACCTCCGAAGCCGCCCTAGTGCGCTCACGGGACAACCCACCCGTCCCCAAGAAAACGAAAACGCCGGGTGATGTATTTATTATTTTTTTATTTGTACAAAACGATCGTCTATCTGATTTTACCTTTACATTACATCTCTATTCTTCTGAATGATTCTAGTCCCCGTAAGATAAACCTATACTTTGGTCTTCAGAAAAATAAATGGGTTGAAACATACCTAGCACGCCGTGGCTGGTTGCTTGGTTACTAGGCTCTCCCGGGCCACCTGTCCGTTCCCAATTTTCATTTCCACTGTATTTCAGTTTCTCTCACTCTCGGATCTGCGGATACTGCTGGCTCGCTGGCTGGCTGGCTTACTCATCTGCATTTTCGTCGCAGCAACCGCCCGCAGCAGCCCGCGCACTGCAGCAAGCACAGAGGCCCTGCTAGTCTAGTAGCTGCCCACGAATGCCAGTGCCAGCCAGTGCCAGCCAGTGCCAGCCAGTGCCAGTGACAGTGCCAGTGCCACCAAACCAAAAATTGCCTTGCTTTTTGCTTGACCGGTTGTTCCGGTGGGAATTCTTTCCCCGTCTCCATCTCCATCTACTAGTTACTGTGCTGTCCATGCCTACAACGGAAAAACCCTTCCAGGCGGTCAATCGGTTGAGACGTCGTTTTCACAGCCTCTTTTCTATTCTAGATTGTCTCTTCTCTATCTATCTTCTCTCATGGGTTGCAGTTCCTTTCTTAGTACCTCTACGGAGTAGGTTACTGGCGTCGCTCAATGGCCCTTGGGTGCCAACCCGAACCTTGCCGCAGCAAACCCTGTCACCCCCTCCAATCCTTTTCCGATTTCAGTAACTTACATCATGCTCCACTTTAACCTGAGGTCTAAGATTCCTACTCCAGTACAGTAGCTTGAACCTACCAGTTCAGACAACATTTGCTTTATTTACTTGAGAATCTGCAACTCACTCATGGTACCAACCATCAGACAAAGTTTTGTCATGGACTTCACCATGCATTCTCAAAACACTACTTACTGCACTCAGACGTTCCATCATCACCTTGTAGACATGCTGCCAAATTGGAAAGACCGCTATTGTCGCTTTGGAAATAGCCAGACAACCTTGATTACCACCGAAGACTAAGGACCACTTATGGCTCTCATACTGGATTTGCGGTCCGATCAATTGCTTGCCTTGTTCTGCTGAGCCTTGAATGCCGCGACCTCCTTGTTCACACTCTCATGGTACCTCTTCTTCAGCTCAGGGCGATACCCGAAGAAGAACAGAATCTCCATCCAGATGAAAAGGGGAGCGAGCAGCAGAGCCTGCACCAGATTATCCAGCAGTGCAGGGGCCCGTTTCTCGAAGGCACCATGGCCGACGAATTGCGCCAACCACGAAACCACGTGAATGCCACCAAACCAGTAGTTGGCGCTCGTGCCGTAGGTACTGAGAAGGTGATTCGCACCGGCTGCACTGCCGATGATGAGCGGCGTCGCTAGGGCCCCTGCTACGGGCTCCAAAAGGATGTAAAACGTCGAGTATACTATGGCAGCGATCGTCCCAAGGTTGAGAGGCAGGTTCTCAACCTGCAAAGCCTCAGGCGTGGGGATGAGGGTTGGTGTGTTAGATGCCTAGAAAGTAGCACGTTATCAGGGCGTCTGTTGCTGTGTTGTCCGGGGTTGAGTGTCATACCAGGGCAATGCCAGTGAAGAGAAGTATCGGCACACATGTCATGTGAATCGCAACATTCACCTGAAAGAAGAAAGTCAGGAACTGAGCCTTGCGAGGATATATAGAAGAGCTTTGCACGTACGGGATTATTGTGGTAGGCGCCATACTGGAAGATGTTTTAGTTAGCGACTGAGTCTGTTGACCGGAGGGGCGGCGGGTGCCGCAGAATGGGCCTCACAAAGAGTAGCTGCTTCTCGAGATTCAAAGCCATGGTGACACTGAAGATGCAGGGGTCTTGTCGGGCAAGGCGAAGAGCAGTGAGATGGAGAAGACCGATATCCAGACCGAGAAGCTACTTTTCCTCCCCACTACAAGGTGTTGCCTGATCAGGTGGAAGGATAAGACATTTTATGCCAAACCGTTCGTTGCTTGTGCAAACGTCATTCGTTGTACAGAGACTCAACAAGGGCCGAGGATATTGTGAATTCTTACACCCTTCGTCTCATGATTGTACCTCCGAGGTACTGAAATTCTCTCACGAGGAAGCAGATTACCCACCAATCCAGCACCCTGGGCGTCATGATGTGTATGTGTACGGTAACTCACGTTACCCTCCGCCCTCGTCATGTGACTCGGGCGAGCTCCCGCGGATCAGACACGGTGATTGTCGCTCGATTGACAGCGGAGTCAAATCACCTGGTCGCTCTTGAAGTTCCGTGGGCTGCCTTCAGTTCTCTTTCAGACCGGGGTCACTTTTTTGTTCAACTCCACCTCTGCATTGTTCTTTGTTTAACACGTCTTCTACCAAATTTTACGCGCGCTACGAGTTGTTGATACTAATCCTTGAGCGTCAATTGCCATTGCTCTTTGCGCATTTAGCACCACGATCACAATCGCTACACGATTCCTGCATATTGACTCCGTCTCACTCAAACCATTAAAGCGACTAAAAGCGCTTTCGTTCGCTCCGACCTAGACATTGATAACCAACGCTACTGGGTACCATTCTTCGTGTCAACCGCATCTTCGACCTCCGATCATCGCGCGTGCAATCTTGGAAAGCAAAAGGAAGATCAGACATCATGTTCTTCCTCAAGGAAGAAGTCAAGGTTATTACCTTGCATCCGTCCTTCTTCGGACCCAACATGCGGGAATATCTCATCACCCGGTTAAATGAGGAGGAGGAAGGTCGGTGTACGGGCGATCACTTTGTGATCTGCGTCATGGACATGGTAGATATCGGCGAAGGACGTGTGCTGCCCGGCAGCGGACAAGCGGAGTACACGATCAAATACCGTGCGATCATCTGGAAACCGTTCCGAGGCGAGACTGTACGTTGCGAAGAGTCGCCCGCCCGGCTTACCTCAACGCTGACCGTGGAAACTGCAGGTTGATGCGATTGTAACCTCTGTCAAACCTACTGGGATCTTCACTCTGGCGGGGCCGTTGTCTGTGTTCATTGCGCGAAAGGTATACCGAACATTAAGCGTGCGGAGGGTGGTCTGAACTTGAACGCTAACGGACTGATGAAAAGAACATTCCCTCTGACATCAAATGGGAACCCAACACGGTACCGCCCCAGTATACGGATCATGCAGACCAGGTGATCGAGAAGGGAACGAGCCTGCGGCTCAAGATCCTGGGTGTGAAGCCGGACGTTGCGGCAATCAACGCCATTGGTACAATCAAAGAGGATTTCTTGGGGTGAGTTATGGCCTATCACTACGGATGAACGGTCTACTGATGCGCATCACTTTCCACCAGACCCTTGTAGTTTGCTTGGGTTGAGAATCTCCTCTTCCTTTCTCTTCTATCCGAGGATATTGAAGCCGCTGCGAAGGAAGTCTGAACTCTTTAGCCCGTTGTACCACCACTCGCATCGCTATATAGAGACTACCGTAGCATCATCGACTCAACTTGATGTCCGGACGGTGCGCTTGCTGAGGCCTTACAGAAACGCATCGAACAGTCTCTCCAAGCGGGATATCATTTGGGGGGATGGTATCTTGCTTATCCTGGCAAAGAAGCCCGCGCAGGCGGACAGGGCTGCCTCGTCGCAGGAGCATCGGTCTCGCACATGGCTATTGTGTGTATGGCAAGGCAACACAAGACAAAACAAGAACGACGAGAACGGATGGTGGCTGGCTCGGAGCCGTGATCGGCTACGTAATTTTTTATAAAGAAAAAGCGTTGTTTTGTACAGTCAAAATCAAATATGGGAGGGGTAACTTGGATATAATTAAATAGATCAGAAATGACTGTTTGTGTCGTGGATCTACTTCTTAGTTCAGGTGTAGGCACCCAGTATGCAGTGTATAAGCACTGTACTACACAAAGGACTACTAGAACTAAACGAGAGAAGATGCCCGCATTGCACTCAGCGTGTTAATCATGCAGCTGCTTGTGCTTGTGGGGGAGTGATCGAATGCATCACCAGTTGCCGGAGAAACGGAATGTGAAACGCTGGTGTGTCCAGTCTCCATCATCGGAGCCGTGCGCAGGCAATTTCCCCAGTCCGTGTCCGTGGCAGGAAATGGGAGTATTGAATCCTGCTGATGTTATGGGGATTTCTCGATACACCAGAAGGTTGACAGTGTTCTTAGGGAGCACTGATCCGTACTCTATGTAGGTAGTTATTGGGATTGGATGGAGATAAATGTGTTTTGACAGCATTCACTGCCTTAAATATGTAAACATGGAGGAAGGTGTTCTAACCGAAGCCCTCAGAGCATGGGCCCAAATTACGCATGTGAATCAGGACGGAGTGGACTGGGACTACCTAGTAATCGGCTGCACCTCCCCGTCCTACACTGACTTGACGACTTCCATTACACACTGCCTGCGCTGTTGTCCCTCTTCTCTTTTGGGGGTCCCTCAGCACTACTAACCAGGTACTGTACATACACAGACACTACTACGCTACTCTCTTTCACATCTCAGACACCGACTCTCTCCTTCTCTCTCGCTACTCCAGTTTCTCACTCTTGACCTCTGTTTCCCCCCCACATCTTGCCGTTTTCTACTCACACTTTCCCTCCGCCAACAGCATCCGGCTGTGTTCTGTCCTCTCCCTCCCGAATCTCCCCCGCATCCCTCTACATTCGTTTCTGAAACTCAACCAACCCAGTCGCAGAAATCATGTCTTTGAAAGATGTGTACAGCCGGTTCCTGACCAACCCCAAGTCGGTTCCGTTGGCCACCGATGCGTCCCTCGTTTACATCACGACCACTACTAAGGTAGACGGTGACGCTGCGATTGTCAGCCATTTCAGCAAACAGCAGCGCATCGTTAAGACCAAGTCGGAGACCATTCTGGACGCCTTCGAAAGCACCAACTCTCTCTGCTTGGATATTGAAACTACTCTGGAATTTGTGTCTGGCGGCGGGGCGTACCTTCCTCAGCTTGACGACAATTTCCTGGCCGATCATGTCGCTACCTTTCCGACGGTAAATATGCGCTCAATACCCGTACACTATCCATACGACCGTGCCAAACTAAACAGATACTTGAATGCATCTAGGTTCACATTGTTCGCTTCAATGCTCAGCAGCAGATCCAGAATGTCCGCATCTACTGGGACCAAGCTTCGTTACTGAAACAAGTCGAAGTGATCGGTTCGCGTGCTCGCGGTTGGCCCATTCGTGATGCCAAAGACCAGTTTCGCCTTCTCAAATCTGCCATCTCATCGAGTCCCAGCGATCACGGACCGGGGTCAGCTTCTGCGCCTGCCCCACCTGCTTCCACGGAGGAGAAAGCGCGTGTTCCGGAGCGCCAGATCGCCTCTCCAGGGAAAAAGTACATCAAGGACCCTCATGCCGCTGACTCCCTATTTGAACTTCTCTCGCCAGGCAAGGACAGCAAGGACCGAGGAGAACCTGTGCGTGCCCCGCGTGCTCCTGCGTCTGCCCAGCCTCCAGCGCGTGACTACGGCGAGCTCTTCCTCAGTACCGAAGGTGACTTCGACAACGATACTCCCGACGCGTCGCCATCCAGAAAGCGAATTCCCCCTAAGGCCGGTACCAAGAACTTGCAACCCTCGCGCATCTTCGATCATGATGAGGCCGCCACCAAAGAAGGACTCCAGCAGATTGCGTACAAGGCTCACCCCAAACGTTACGACCACTTTGAGCTTGGCGGGGATAACAGCACTCGGGAGGTCCATGAGAAGCCTGGGCGCCCTGTGTCTCGTCAGGCCCCTCACTGGGACTTTGAAGACTTTGTGACCCCCGAAAAGCCCAAGCGTCAACTTCGAGGAGAGGAAATCCGCCACTTTGGTTGGGGCGATGATGAGCAGGAACCTACATCCGTCCCAGTTCGATCACGGGCGCAGCACCCCCGTCCTGATGCTGAAACTCATTTTTCGGTGACCGAGACTCCCGAAGAGAGACCAGGCGGCCGCATTATCAGTTCATTCCAGAACAAAGGTTTGGGCCTTTACAAGAACCATCTTTTCGACAACAAGGAAGACGATGAATTCTCCCAGAACGCAAATGCGCCCCTCTCCAGAGTCAACAACAATGGCGCCAACCGTAAGAAGGAGCTCGAGACTCACTGGGATATGGCCGACGAGTCGCCTCGCGATAGCAAGCGCAACGCGGAAAACAGAAAGCCTATTCCCGGAGACCGTCAAAAGGCCGTTAAGGCGCTAGAGCCATCCTGGGATACCTATGACCAGTCACCTGAACCCACGAAGATGGCGCCCCCTCAGCGGCAGAGCGTAAGAAACCACAACCAGCGGAGTTGGAACTTCGGTGCTGAAAATTGATCGCTGCATCGCTAAGCTGCGTTGCGCGGTGCTTCATTGCTCAGTCCATGCATATACCCATTCCACAACAAGACCTTTCGCCAAGTCTTGAGTATACCTTGAGAGTAAGCCAAGCGAATCCGGAGTAAACCAGGGGCCAACATCCACATACGGAAGCAGAAAAGAACCGAGAGTCCGTAGCTATCGATAGGAGGAACTCTTACTTTTGCAAGCAATGTATCTTTGCATGCCGAATCTTTGTCTAGTATTTGTGACAGCGTTTCCCTGCATTTTGATATGGGGTCAACTACTATCCTGATTCCTTGTGAGGCAGAATGCAAATACAATCAATGTATAGTAGAGAAAACATGTGTGCAAGACCATTCCAAGTTACTGTACCTTAGCTGCCTGTCCTCAATCCATGTCATTGCTTATCTATTGGTTTTGGAGTCCGAGCGAGTGAGTCAACCGACTCAACTCATGCAGTAGTAAGCATGGCCGGCGCGCCAACCACGTTTAGTGACCTGTCGGGGTTTCCGTGAGACGGGCGGTTGCATGGTCTAGTTCTGAGTAAGTTAACTTATTGTCCCCTCTCACTACGTAGTAACTAACGAACCGCACCGCATTTCCACTTTGCCTTTCGGTCTTGTTTATCAGATGCAGTCTACGTATACTTTGAATTTTGTCATCCGTCACTTCACTTGCGTGTGATTGACTCAGTCACTGTCTTTACGTCAGCTGTGTGTGTGCCTACATACTGACCGCCTTCGAGGTGATAACGGAGATAATCACCTATCCTACCTATCTTACCTATCCTACTCTTACCACTCCGTAACTACCCTTTATTTCGCCAAGTCGTTTCTTCACTTCAATTCTACTAACTCCAACTACGTGCCTCTTCAGGTATCGACCAACCTGGGCTTGCCTCTTCTCTCTTCTGTCTATCACTGATATAATCTTAAACTCGATAAGCCCGGCTTGACCGGCTGTTTGCCTTTCGTTCTCCCAAGTTCGACCCGCAAAGGCAGTTCGCCGATCGTGCCCCTCATTGGATCTCTTCTCTACCTCCTCCTCGTCTTGTTGTTCGGCACTTTCTTTTCTTTTCGTTTCGATCCGTGTGCAACGCGATTCTTTGTGCCGTTGTTTTCAAGGTCGACTCAACACTAGCCCGTGTCTTCCAAATCTGTTCAACCCCGACGGACAGCGGTCTTCTTCGGTCGCCCATCGCCGCGCGCCCCTCGATCGTACCATAAGCCTGCTCAATCGCGTTCAGCGCAACGATCGCGGTCAAACCACTGGGATCGAGTATTGTTGTGCAATAAGGGCTTTTGATAAACAGAGCGGATTCTGGTTACGCTCGCAGACTTTCAGAGGGCTGCGCGCCGATTACTTGAGTCTTGTCATATTGTCCATTACATTCATTGACAACTTGCGCCGTCGACCGGACAGACTTCCAACCTCTACAGCGTCCGGACCAGATCCCCTTAGACATATTGGCGCCGAAATCCTACGCGATACTCAGCAGGTTCAATAGTCGTCTCTGGGCAGGCCATTCTTTCTCCCCCCGCATTTTTCGTCCGGGCGACTCTCGCAAGCACTGTTTCTCAGGTGATTGTTATAATATAGCTCAATATGTCTCCGACACCCCCATCCACAACTTCGTCGAGCGCTGGCGCATTCTCACCTGAAGGACAATTCAGAGTCATCAGAAAGAGAAATCGAGTTCCCCTCTCATGTGCGCCATGTCGGCATCGAAAGTAAGCACTTGCCTCGCTGGCCACCTTTTCATTTGTGCTAACGGTGGAGTCATCAGGCTGAAATGCAACCGTGCCCATCCCTGCGAAAACTGCATCAAGCGTGGTGATGCGACTTCGTGCTCATACGCCCAAGCAAATGTGCGAAAAAAGAATGTGTCGCAGCCGTCAGCTGCGAGCTCTCCAGATGATATGCAGAATAGGATCGATCGACTTGAGAGCCTCGTCCTATCGCTCATGACTAATGGTTCCCAGTCTGCAGGCCCCGCAGCGGCCATGGCTGCGATTTCCGGCAATAGCAGCAGCACGGGGTCTGTACCGAACACGGTCGATATAGATGTGGAAGATGAAACACCTGGCGGCCCTGAGGACAGTGATACCGAGCAGGTCACCAAGTCGTTTGGAATTATGAAGTTTGACAACAACAAGTCCTATTATATCAGTGAGGTACATTGGGCATCGGTCCTCAGCGATGTAAGTTGCCTGCGCGCACCAGAGCTATTGCCAGCGATTAACGCCTGCTTCAGATTGCGGAAGTGCGAAATTATTTCTCCACTCACAAGAAGCAATACGAGGAGCAGACGGAGAAGCTGAAGACAACCCAACTCCCGACTGACGTCCAAGGTTCCGCTCTACTCTTTGGGGCAATGAAACCCGCGACTCGGGCGGAAATTATGTCTTCTTTCCCGTCTAAATATACGACCGATATGCTGATCGCGCGCTATTTCAGCTGCTATGACCCATCAACACGTAAGTCAGACGGCTTTTTGCATATACCTTATGTCAGTACTCACTCCGAAGTAGACATTCTTCATGGGCCCACTTTTCAGACACAGGTAAGACTCATCTGTCCATCACCCTACATGATTACCGTATCGCTAATCCCAGCTAGTACAACAAACATTGGGAAGATCCTTCCCAGACTTGCACGATATGGATTGGCATGCTGTTTGCCATGATGCGACTAGCCATGCTCTCGTACCATCGCAATGGAGACGAACCCCCGGAATTTCGGGGCAAGTCCCTGGACATGGCTGGAACTTTCAGAAACCTCGTAGCCCAGTGTCTTACGCTGGCCGACTATACCAAACCATATCCGTACGTCATTGAGAGTTTGATCTTTCACCTTCATGGTGACTTCTGTCAAACCAGGGAAGCAGATGTGTCAGTGTGGGTTCTCGTGGGAGTGATCGCGCGCTTGGCTATGAGGATGGGCTACCATCGTGACTCCAAGATGTTCCCAAACATCACACCGTTTCAAGGAGAAATGCGGCGTCGCGTGTGGACCTTCGTGCGGCAGGCGGACCTATTGTTCTCCTCTCAAGTGGGGTTGCCCAGCATGATCCGTTCCACTGACAGTGATACTGAGCTCCCTCGAAATCTGTATGATGATGACTTTGATGAGAATTGTCAAGAACTTCCGCCTTCCCGTCCAGCAAATGAACCGACGCCGATATCGTTCTTGATTGCTAAAGCGCGGCTGACGTACACTTTCGGCCATGTCAGCGAGCATACTTCACGTTGTCAGACTGCAACGTCTTATGACAAGGTGATGGAGCTTGATGCGGAGCTTCGTCAAGCTCGCGATCTGATCCCGGAGCACCTACTCGTGCGTCCTATCGAAGATTGCCCATTGGACTCTCCAAACTTGATCATGTCACGATTTGCGGTAAGTTCTGTCCTTGTTGAGATGTTCTATGCAGTGTTGACCATCTCTAGGTTGCGAGCGTGTATCACAAAGCACAATGCGTGCTTCATCGACAATACCTTGTACGAGCACGTGAGAACCCTCGATTTAGTTACTCGAGACGGACCTGCCTGGACTCTGCAATGGAGCTGTTGCGATTTCAGTCCATGCTTCATGACGAGACTCGGCCCACAGGTCGTCTACGCAGCAGATACAACAAGCTAACCTCACTTGGATCTTCCGACTATTTGCTCGCTGCAACCATTCTTTGCCTTGATCTTTATCATGGACAGCAACTCCAGGCATCGGGTCGAACCAGTAGTGATCCTTACTCCTGGACTAAGGAACGTCGGGATGAGATGGTGGCTGCGCTCCAACGAACCCGAGAAATCTGGGACGAGCTTCGTGATGAGACTATCGATGCATGGAAAGCTGCCGGAGCTCTGGGAGTAATGCTTGCCAAGCTGAATTTGGGATTTTCAGAAAGTAATACCGCGTCTGCAGCAGCCTTTGAGCCACAGGATGAGAAACAAAGCGCCGCAATGACATTGGGGCTCCTGAGCAGTGGAATGAGTCCCATGGCTTCGAGCCAATCGACGCTCAACGACCCTGCATACAAGATGGCAGACACGCAAATGCCCATGCAAGGTGGCTTTGCAAACGCGGCAGAGATTCCGGGGGCACCTTCACCGTTCAGCGCGATGTTTGGGCAGGTGCCCGACATGCAGTTGAACCTGGACTGGGTAGGCTAACCCATCAATCCCCTGAAAAAAGAATTCATGGCTGATCACAATCATAGGACGCTTGGGATACCTATATTCAGAGTTCAGCAATGGATATACCTTCACAATGGTGGCCATCGGGAGACATGCAACAGCAACAACCGGGTCAAAGTCCTCTGTCTTCAGCACAATTGCCAGCCACCCAAAACAGCGGTCCTGACCGCATGCGTTCTATGCCTCGTGGCCCGAACATATTCTCCCCTGATGCTAACAGCTACGAGGGCAGCAATGTTGCCATGTCGACGGCAGGCTATCCTGTCAACCCATCCTCTCTCAACAACCCAAGTAGCGGTCCGGGAACCTAAGCAACGATGTTTGTTCAAGTTCTTTCGTGTCTGCCTTTCTAGGATCTGACTACATTTAATGAATCAAAAGTTGGTCGGGAATCTGGATTTCATTTTATATGGATTGTATTTGTGTCGTGCTACAAAGCTCTGCAGGACTAATCTTTAGCTTCACAGGATGGCGAATAGGACGCGGTTGGATTCAAAGGCTGGGCTGGGCTCTTTCTAGTTGGTTTCCACAGCTATAATCATATTCGTGTTCTACGCTTGAATCAGCGTGGATATTCGATTGAGGATTGGATGTATATTACGCAAAGACACGTCACGATAGGTCATGCAAATACTAGTCATCTACACTCTATATTGGTGTCTCTTATTGTTGTCGGTAGTTCATGCTCGTCTGCAGATTTTAGCGTACCGTACTCCATTGAAGTCGCGAAAACAGAGACAACCACAGAACGTAGCGGTCTTTCCTCCGACTATGTTCAGGTCTAGTCTGGCTATTTCCTTCATTATAGTTATTGGATTATGTAGCATGCATTTCAGGAGATACTTGAGTCACGGGCAACAGGCATTCCGGCGCAGCAATTTCCCGAACTCCAATGATCGATTACACATTAGGCATGGTGTGCTGATATAACATCACGTGACTAACTGATAAGGGAAGTTTTCGTTGCTGAATTCCCCGAAGCATCGCCTTGCCACAAATTCTTTGAGTTGAGAAAACTTCATCCTTTTCCATCCTTTCCTCTAAGATTTAATCGTTTTTCAAACACAAGAATGTGAGTCTGGTTATCACTGCCTTTCGCCATTGTTAGTATCTGTCTAACAGTGTTGGATTTATCCAGGTATTGCTTCCGTCAGGCAGCCTCTCGGCTGTTGATTGCTCCTAGCAGAGTCGCGATTCGCTCTGTACCGCGCTCCAACGCGTCCAGCCCTTTGCGCCTTGCTTTCGCCAGCAGACCCGTTCAGTCTCAGCTTCAAAGCCGGTGGAACAGCGATGATGCTCAGAACAAGCCCGTAGCTCCCAGCACCAACGAGCAGTCTCCCGAGACCAGCAACGAGAGCATCGTCGAGGCTGTTTCGCAGTACGCCGATCAGAAGGAGAATTTTTCTGAACAGGCTGATGAGCCTTTTGCCCCGGAAGCCCCGAGACGACGTTCCTTCCAGCGGGATAACTCTGGCAATGGCGAATCTGGGACCCGCAGATTCAGATCAAACTTCGCCAGGGAGGAGCCGGAGCCGAAGACCACCATTTTCGTTGGAAACCTTTTCTACGACGTCACAAGCGACGATCTCAGACGTTTCTTCATGAAGTTCGGAGAGGTGCAGAGAGTGCACCTCATCCATGACCAGCGGGGAATCAGCAAGGGGTAAGCGCACAAGTTTCGGTCCTGAATTCCAAACATTGCCGCGTGTGCAAATTCTGACTTTGGGGGTTGTCTGTCACTTAGATTCGGTTATGTGGATTTCGATTCGATCGAGTCGGCTCAGCGTGCCATCGAAGAGATGCACCTGCAGGTTTACGAGGGACGTCGTATCAGCGTCATGTTCGCGCAGAACGGCATGAAGAAGCACAGGGTGTCGCCCCCTTCGAAGTCGCTCTACATCGGCAACCTGCCCTTCGAGATGACCGACCGTGATCTCAACGATCTGTTCAGCGATGTGGTCAACGTCATCGATGTGCGCGTGGCGATTGACCGCCGCACCGGACAGCCCCGTGGTTTCGCCCACGCCGACTTCGTTGACCTCGAGAGTGCGCGCAATGCCATGGAGGCCCTCAGCCAGAAGATGCCCTATGGAAAGAAGTTGCGCCTGGACTACAGCTCCAAGCACAAGGGCATCAACAACCCTGAATCCCGCCAGCAGGAGCAGCAGGAGCAGCCGGAGCAGCAGGAGTAGGGGTTGAGTTGTTGTCCCAGATTCTAATTCCACTTGGCCTATATTGAGGTGTAATAGTCTTGAGTGTATATCAAGTTCATCCTTTTCATGTATATTACAGAATTATGTCGTACAGTCCATTCCATTCATCATTTCCTGCTCCGTACATACCACGTAGGCTTAGACAGATGGAAACCAAAGGAAACCAAATAAATAGTAGGGCACACGTGACTTCCGGGGGGCCTCGGTATCTTTCCGCCGGTCGGCAGCGAAGCCGCGCCGAAACCCCACGTCTCTGTGCTTAGAGAGCCATTTCGGGGCGGGTCTCCTCACTTATTCCTCTCTCCACTCTCTCTCTCTCTCTCTCTCGCCCTCTTATCTCCCCCCCCCCTCCCTCTCTCTTCTACCACTGGTCCTCCCTTGTCCTATTTTCAAAACATATGAACTGTTCTACGTGAGAACTGAATAGCGCGGTCGCTGCACATATTCCCACAACATGTCGTTCCTTGGTGGCGCCGAGTGCTCTACAGCCGGAAACCCGCTGACGCAGTTTACAAAGCATGTCCAAGATGACAAGTCCCTGCAACGTGATCGCCTCGTCGGACGCGGTCCGGGAGGCATGCAGGAAGGCATGCGGTCTAGAGGAATGATGGGTGGTCAAGATCAGGTAGGTATCTCCATGTTCCAAACACACCCCACCCTCTCCTCAGCCTCCCCGCGGGGAAGAGGGCGTGGCCCACTGCCGTGGTTCCCATTCAACTAATGATTGTTATTTCGAGTGTGTTAGATGATGGATGAATTCTCTCAACAACCCGGCCAACTACCGGGCGCTAGCCCTCAGCCCTTCGCCATGGAACAACTCAGACGTGAACTGGACCAGTTCCAGAACGCACCCCCGCGGACAGGATCTCCGGGCTGGGCGGCGGAGTTCGATGCCGGTGAGCATGCACGGATGGAGGCCGCCTTTAATGGGTCCCAAGGTCCGATGATGAACGCCCCCGCGGGATTCAACCCGGCCGAATTCGCCCGGTTCCAACAACAGAGTCGAACTGGCATGCCCCAGGCGGCTCACCCCTCCGTCGCCTCCGCCCCGTCCCCGATGCTGGCTGGTTACCAGCGTCCTATGGGCTACATGGGCATTGGGGGTATGGGGATGATGCATCAGAACTTCGGCCCGATGGCCATGCAGCAGCAGCAGCAACCGGCCGAGGCCGTCACGCAGGACAAAGGCAAGGGGCGGATGGTGGAGCTCGATGACGAGAACTGGGAGGCGCAGTTCGCGGAGATGGAGACGGCGGATACCCAGACGCTGGACGATGCGGCCAACGCAGCCATGGAGGCAGAGCTGAATGAGCTGGACAGGTCAGTCCCCACCACCACCTCCACCACCACTACTACTACCGCCATCGAGGAGAGTTTCGATGCGTTTGAAAACGTGTGGCAAAGAGTTCAAGCTGAGGCGGCAGTAAATAGGAAACTGGCGGAGGGTGAGACCGATTTCAACATCGACGAGAACCTTCACATGGGCGATATGGGTGACTGGGATGGATTCGAGACCCTCAACACGCGGTTCCGCAACCCGCAACTAGGCGAGTACCTGTTCGAGGAAGACAATGTTTTCCAGAGTGTCAACAACCCATTCGAAGAAGGTGTCAAGATTATGCGGGAGGGTGGCAACTTGTCTCTGGCTGCGCTGGCCTTCGAGGCGGCGGTCCAGAAGGACCCGCAGCACGTACAGGCTTGGACGATGCTGGGGACCGCGCAGGCCCAGAACGAGAAAGAATTGCCCGCGATCCGAGCTCTGGAGCAAGCCCTGAAGATCGATGCTGGCAACTTGGATGCGCTCATGGGTCTGGCCGTCTCTTACACCAATGAGGGCTACGATTCTACCGCCTACCGTACTTTGGAGCGCTGGCTCTCCGTCAAGTACCCGCAGATCATCAATCCCAAGGATGTATCCGAAGACGCCGACCTTGGGTTCACGGATCGTCAGCTGCTCCATGACCGAGTCACCGATCTCTTCATCCAGGCTGCTCAACTGTCTCCGTCGGGTGAGCAGATGGATCCGGACGTGCAGGTGGGTCTGGGTGTTCTGTTCTACTGCGCAGAAGAGTACGACAAGGCGGTCGACTGCTTCTCGGCTGCGCTGGCCTCGACGGAGTCTGGAACCACAAATCAGCAGGAGCAGCTGCACCTACTCTGGAACCGCCTCGGTGCCACGCTGGCCAACTCCGGTCGGTCCGAGGAGGCCATCGAGGCGTACGAGCAGGCGCTGAACATCAACCCCAACTTCGTCCGGGCTCGCTACAATCTGGGCGTTTCCTGCATCAACATTGGCTGCTACCCGGAGGCCGCGCAGCACCTTTTGGGCGCTTTGTCGATGCATCGGGTCGTCGAGCAAGAGGGTCGGGAACGGGCGCGCGAGATCATCGGCGGCGAGGGAGGCATTGCCGACGAACAGCTGGAACGCATGCTCCATGTCAGCCAGAACCAAAGCACCAACCTGTACGACACGCTGCGGCGGGTGTTCAGCCAGATGGGACGGCGGGACCTGGCCGATCAAGTCGTGGCCGGGATGGACGTCAACGTGTTCCGGAAGGAATTCGAGTTCTAGAGCGATTCTGCTGGCAGGAAGCATAGCGAGTTTGAATTTGATAAGATTTATTCATGTATGTATGTTCTTTTGAAACGAGGTGATGGGTAGGTAGATGAGATACCATTGGTAGCAGCATAGCAGCAGCAACAATTGAGACTATACAATACAGGGTTGTGCGGCTGCAGAAGATAATCAGGAATGCATGAGATTTGATCTTCTCTAAATTGAAGAGAGTACACCGACCTGATCGAACTAAGCATGCAAGCAAGTGTTGAAGTATGGCTGCCTCGGGCATGAAAGCGGCTGTTGCTGTTGCGTCATGCCGATGAATGGGTTGTGCCTCGGCCATTTATTTCCATTGTTAAGTTACTCGTAACTACCGTGTACGTCCAACTTCACTTCGCAGCTGCCTATCTCTCTTTCCCCACACCCCCAACCCCAACCTTTTCCCTGGACTGCTGAGCAGCCAGTCACTTTTCCTTTTTTCTTTTTATTTACTCACTGCTAACTATTCAGCCCTACATTAATTAAAATCCATTCATACATCCTGCCAAGCTGCCAAGCTCTTAATCACACTTCCCCCCCCTTCCCCAGAAAATAATGGCTGCCGTCACCGGTGCCCAGATCATCGCCCGGACGCTGCGCGATCTCGGCGTCACCGTGATCTTTGGCATCGTCGGCATCCCCGTCGTGGAGATTGCCGAGGAGGCCATCAATTTGGGCATTCGATTCGTGGCCTTCCGCAACGAGCAGGCTTGCAGCTATGCCGCCAGTGTTTATGGATACATGACCGGACAACCCGGTGTCTGTCTCGTCGTGGGAGGACCGGGCGTTCTTCATACTTTGGCCGGGGTGAGTTGTTTTCCATGCCCTGGGGGTGCTGCTATCTACGTGATTTGTACTTCTTAGCTTTGTTGAATTCATATCTATCTATCCTCTCGTGCTAACAAAGCCATCCCTTCTGTCTCTCCTCTTGTACTAACTAAAGCCAATTCCGCCAAAATAGATAGGCAATGCAACCGCCAACAACTTCCCCTTACTGGTGCTGGCCGGTTCGGCCGAGACCACCGCAATCACCAAAGGCGCTTTCCAGGAACTCGACGCCATCTCCTTCCTGACGCCACACACCAAGCTGGCGGTGCGCGCCTCCTCGCTCGACTTCATCCCGGGAGCGGTGAAGAACGCCTACCGGACCTGCTGGTACGGTCGTCCGGGCCCAACCTTCGTCGACCTGCCCGCCGACATCATCCAGGGTCGCGCAACCGCTGCGGCGGACTACCATCGGCTGCTGCTGCCTCCGCCGGAGACCATGCGGGTGCCCGCGCCGCCCAAGGCCAGCGGCGACCCGGCGCTAATCCTCAAGGCGGCGCAGCTGCTGAAGACGGCCCAGGCGCCGCTGCTGGTGGTGGGGAAGGGGGCCGCATACGCGCGGGCCGAGGCCCAGCTGCGCCAGCTCGTCGACCGCACGGGGCTCCCTTTCCTCCCGACCCCGATGGGCAAGGGGGTGTTGTCGGACTCGCACGCGCGCAACGTGTCGAGCGCGCGCAGCGCGGCGCTGAAACACGCGGACGTGGTGCTCGTGCTCGGCGCGCGCCTCAACTGGATCCTCCACTTCGGCGAGGCGCCCAAGTGGTCCCCCACGGCTAAGATTATCCAGGTCGATCTGTGTGCCGAGGAGATCGGGCGCAATGCCGGCGCCGCGGAGCTGGGCATCGTCGGCGACATCTCCTTGGTCGTGGACCAGCTGGTCGCCGCCCTGGCGAATTGGCGCTATGCTCCGGTTGCTAGTATTGGTGGGGCCTCTGACAAGACCTTCCTGGACGTGCTGGATGCATCGATCAAGAAGAATACACAGACCGCGGCCCAGGCAGCCAACCGCCCGACCCCGAAGGATGCCCCGATGACGTACCAGCGGGCTTTCCACCTGATCAAGTCGACGCTGGACGAGCTGACTCATAAGGCAGGCAGCGACGTGGTGTATGTGTCCGAGGGCGCGAACACAATGGACATCTCGCGGTCCATCTTCAGCGTCGACCACCCGCGCCAGCGACTGGACGCAGGAACCTACGCGACGATGGGCGTGGGGATGGGGTATATCGCCGCGGCGCATGAAGCGTACAACGCGATGCCCGGTGCAGCATCAGGAGCTTGCTCCCCGTCGAAGCCAAAGAAAATCGTCGCTTTCGAAGGCGACAGCGCCTTCGGGTTCAGCGCCATGGAGATCGAGACCCTGGCGCGGTACCGCATCCCCGCGCTGATCTTCGTGGTCAACAACTCGGGCATCTACCACGGGGACACGACCTCGGCGGCCGAGTGGACGACGCTGCAGGATCAGACGGCGCGGAATGATACCAAGGCGAGCGGGGAGGGGACGCGGGGCCTGCGGTCGACCAGTCTGCTGTATGAGACCCGGTATGAGATGTTGGCGACCATGTGCGGCGGCCGGGGGTTCTTTGTGCGGACGGAGGAGGAGCTGGTCGAGGCCACGCGGCAGGGGTTCGCGAGCGAGCAGGTCACGGTGGTGAATGTCATTGTCGAGCCGGGGATCGGCAAGAAGATTGGGTTTGCGTGGCAGAATAATGGTGAGCGTGAGCGTGAGCCGCAGGCGAAACTTTAGGTTGCGCTTTTTGGAGTGGAGTACATATCGGTATAGTTTGTATAATATCTCGCATTAGCAGTATCTCATGATGTTACTACTTCATCATCACCCTAAGTCGAAATCTGAATCCCGCATACTAGCGGTCTTCTTCATATATGTAGTATGTAGGTTGACATACAGCTCAATTATACCCAAGTTCCCAGGCAGAGAATCTACCTCAAAAGCTCATCCAAAACCTTAGCCACAGCAACCGCCTTCTCCTCCCCGAACTTCCCCCCAACCACCTGCACCGTAACCGGCATATCCTTGACCAGATCGATATCGTCTGCCAGAAATGATGTTAGCCCATCTCAAACCCTAACCCGCCCTCCCCCAGAACCCCAACCCCAGCCCCCCAAGGGAACCACAAGAAAAGAAAGCGGAAAAACCAACACTGTAGATAATTAAACCGATCCGACTCATTGCGAGGCACATGCTCGCGCCATGCCCGGTTGATCTCGCTGTCGCTGTTACTCTCTGGATGATCGACCCCCGCATCCGCACAGGTCACCGGCACCGTGACCGCGGCGTAATCCAGCAAATTCCACAGCGCCGTGTACCCGAGCCACTGGGCGCTGACGACCCAGGATTTGGGCCGGTAGCCGACCCAGGGCGTCACGGGCATCAGGAGGGCGTCGATGCCGCTGGTCGTCCAGTGCGATAGGTAGGTTTCTTGGTAGGTGTATTTTGTTTCTTCGAGCTTTTCGTCTCGTTACTACTTGTGTATGATGGGAAGGGATTCGGGCAAGGGGGAAGGGTTGATAGGTGAGGTGATGGAACAGGAACAGAAACAGAAACAGCCCAGCCTACCTTCTCCCTCTCCTCGACCGACAACTCATCCTCCGCCGTCCCCACGACCATCCCCTCGATCAACGGCTCCCCAACAATGTCGCACAGGTACCGACAGTGCTGGCCGCCGTCGGCCAGGATGGCTTTCGTCCAGAGGGCGGTGCCTTCTTCGTGGAGGGCGGTGGCGGGCCAGGGGATTACTTTTTCTCCCAGTAAGTATGATGACCGGGGTGGTGTGTACGGTACGGGCTTGATATCTAGTTTTGAACTGAAAGGGAAAAGGAAAAAGGGCAAGACACACCCTCATGCCCGGCATCCACCAACTTCCGCTCGACCTCGCGCATCGCCCGCGCAATCGGCGGCTGCGGCTTGACGACCCCGTCGTCGTGGATGATGGCCACCCGCAGTTTCCGGTGGGCGGGGGGCTGGGCCAGCTCCGCGCGCCAGGGGATCGGGATGCAGCCCGGGTCGAGGGTCCAGGGCTCCGAGGCCAGCAGGGCGGCCATGAAGTGCTCGATCGAGGTGAGGCTGCGCGCCATCGGGCCGGCGACGGGGGGCACCATGTAGTGTTGGTGCATGCTTTTTGCAGCATACTGTTAGTCTTTGTATACCATGCCCCGACACTCATGCCCAGAAACAAAACTCCAAGCAGAGTAAAGAAGGGAGTTGAAACATACAACGAACAATCCCACGGAACCCTCCCCCTCGACGGACACACCGAATACAACCCCTGCAAGTTGGCCGGGATGCGAATCGAGCCCCCGATATCCGTCCCGATCCCCAGCACACTGCCCCGGGTGCCAATCAACGCCCCCTCGCCGCCGGAACTCCCGCCGGAGATGAGTTGGCTGTTGAAGGCGTTGATCGATTGTCCGAAGACGTGGTTGTAGGAGTCGGACATCTTCCAGGTTCCAGCAGAACCAGCCCTAAATCAGCCAACCATCTCCCAACATTCTCACAAACCGGGAGCGTGCCAGGAAAGGGACCGGACAGAACAGAACATACCATAAGCGACTGCGGCACATTCGTCTTGACATACAACACCGCCCCCATCGACTCCAGCAGCCGCGCAATCGAGCTAGATTTCCGGGCGGGTTTGTTTATCAGTCCTACCCAGCCTTCACCCAGACAGAGCCCCAGACATGAACAATCAGCCCACATTCATTCGTCCCCCCCGGAGGGAAAAAAAAAACGAACCAACAGTCGTATCCACCCCCTCCAGATCAAACCGATCCTTGATCGAAACCGGCAACCCATGCAGCGGGCCCCGCGGCCTCCCGCCCGTGCGGGCGAATTCTGCGTCCAGCCACCGCGCGCGCGCCAGCGCCCGGTCGAAGAAGATCTCCGTCAGACATTTGGTCAGCTGCTGCGCCAGGGCGGCGCGCTTGCAGAAGGCCGTCGTCAGCTGCACGGAGGTGATTTCCCCGGACGCGAGGGCGCCGAGCAGCACGGTTGTGTCGGCGGTTTCGGTCCAGGCGAGCTCTTGCGCGGTGAGGATGCCGCTCGTGCGGATGGTGGTTAGGGTATCTTGGTCTTGGTCTTGGTCTTGGTCTTGGTCTTGTTTGGGGGATGTTGGGGTGGCCGGGGGGTGGGGAAGACGCCAGGCCTCGGGGATGGCGGCGAGTTGGGCCTGGCGTTTGGCGTAGACGGTGGGTTTCCAGGTGGGGATAGTGGGGATTGTTGGGGGTGAAAGGAGGGTGGTTTGGGTCATTGTCGCTTTTGCTGTTGCTTGGTGGGGTTTGTTGGTGGTTGGGTGGTCTGGGTTGTGAAATGAAGTGAAGTTGTATAGTTGGGGGTGGTGGAGGAGTTTATGGTTATGGTTGCGGAACGAGGGGAAATCAATGGAACGGGAGCGGGGTTGATGCGGAGAAGTTTATAAGGTAGTTAGTTACCTGCCAGTGGAATGCTATACACAACTATCTGAATATTCCGCACTCGTGAAAGATAGGAGATAATGATGAATCAATCAGATTGGGTACAGCACCCCCCCCCTCCCCCCCACTCCTGGCAGCATCATCACTATCTACTCTGGAGTATGTCAGAATGTATCCTCAACCACTGTAGCACGCCAATCATTCAATAGATTCAGCTATCTATCATCTGCAGATTGCCGAGTTCCGGATACCATAACCGCCGAGATAAGATAGTAGGCCATGCTTGGTATCTTCTATCGTACATCTCCTAGTTGACCCCAACCCTCACTCAAACAGTCATCAGCATGCTGGCGTTCTTGTACCATGTCAGCATCGGATTCTCCCCGTTCCGCGTCTCCGTGTCTGCAATGTACGCCCAGCGCTGCATGAAGTCTTCGTGGCTCACCACCTGCGTCAACTTGCCGGTGATCGCCCGGTACATGTCCTCAATCACATTGAAGTCGGTCGGGAAGAAGATATCGAAGTATCCTTGTTGGACCTGCGTGCCAGTCAGAAAACGTTCCTCAAAACTTCAGACTAAATCTCAAGACCAGACTTACATAAGGGGTCGTCACAGGAATGGTGCGCCGCTCGAACCGAGTCTGCACCACAGGTCCATTCAGCCCGCGCACGGCGTCCGGCAGCGAGCTGAAGTCACTCGCCACCAGCCGGTGGCCCGGGAAATAGTTGTTGAGGATGTCGAAGAACTGCATGAGCCGTGTGGGGATGTACTCCGGCTGCGAGAACTGGCCCGCGGCCGGCAGGTACGGCCGCAGCGCCCGCATGTACTTTGGCCCCAGGGGCGACGGGAACGGGCGCCGGGCAGCCGCCTGCCGCACGCGCAGGAACCGCGCGGCCACCGGGTCCAGGTAGTCGCGGTACCATTCGTGGAACTCGCCGTCCGCGTCGATCAGGACCCCGCCCTGCTGCGGCTGTTCCGTCTTGAGGTCGTAGCGGATGATGTCGTGGGAGAAGTTGTCGAACACCTCCAGCGCCAAGAAGAAGCACGGCGAGTGCACGTAGGTGTTCCAGTCGAAGATCGACCGGTTGATGATCTCGAGGCGGTCCCGGTGGCCGGCCGACTCGGCCGACGCGATCAGGTTCTTCAGCTGCAGACTCGCCAGCGCCGGCGAGATCTCGATGATCTTGTACTTCGTCCGCTGGTAGACCTCGTAGTCCACCTCGCGGATGTAGTCCAGCACGTTCCGCATCATCGTGCCGTTTCCGGCGCCCATCTCGTAGATGATCAGATCGTGGTACGGGTACAGCGTCAGTTTATAGTTCGACACCAGGTACCGAGCAATCGTCTCGCCGTAGTAGGGTTGGAAGAGCTCCGTCGGGGTGTGCCACAGTTGGCGGGCGACGTCGGGCTCGGCTGCGTCTAACCGGTCCTCGAACTCCGTATAACGATTCCGTAGCATGGTGTGAAACGCGGGCCCATCGGCGATGTCGTTGAAGATGAAGGGCTCCCCGGGGCTAAAGATGGTGGCATGTTGGGCGAAGTAGCCGTATTGAAAATTGTACAAACTGTCTGTGAGAGAGAGAGCACCCGAGTATGTTAGAGCGGTTGTCCAGTCGCAGCAGCCAGCCATCACGACGACGATTTTCCTTACCATCGATGAACTCCCGTCCCCACATCTTCACCTGCCGCGGCCGCTCGCGGTGATGACGGAGTTCTTTGGCCGTGACCATCGGGTATTTCTGCAACTCCTCCGAGATGTCTCTGGTGATAAAGCGACGCTCGTTCCAGATCGTGCCATCGTTGGAGGCTTTCTTGTTGGCGGGGAGTTTCCGGAGGAAGGGTCGACATTGTTGACGGTGGTGCGGACGGGATGGGGACAGGCGTACGCAACCCGGTCGGCGCGCGGAGAGGGAAGGAGTAGATTTGAAGGATTGACAGGCGGGATGTCGAAATAACTGCCGAAGCAGTTGATTGAGGACTGGAGAGTCCATGGGAAGGAGGTAGATGATCGCTCGTGGGGCGGGGGGGGCGGTAGCACAATGCACTCCGTCGAAAAAGAGGAGCAAGAGAGAAAGCTCGGGGAGAGCACGAGACGAGATGGAGGAGAGACGGAGAGACGGAGAGGCGGAGAGGCGGCGGTCGCGCAACGGTGGGTCCAAGCTTTTCTTCCGCCCGCCATCAAATGCAATAAGTTAACTCGCCCTCGTCCATCACCATCACCATTTCTTGGCTGGACTGGATCCCTCTCTTCTTCGCAATCATGGATGATCATTCTCATCTCTACATTGGAACTGCCTTCGTCGCAGGTGTTCTTCTTACCATTGGATTCAAGGATCTGGTGTACCCCGAGATAGAACAGCGCATCCATGAATATCAAGCCCGTCGTCAATCCCAGCCCGCGACAGACTCCGAGGACCTCCTCTCAACCGAGGACCTCTCCACCGAGACTCTCGCCGCAAGACCAGGTCCACCGGCCATCGTCGAGGGCATTGAAGGTTGCATCGGGAATACTCCCCTCTTTCGTATCAAATCCTTATCCGATGCGACGGGCTGCGAGATATTAGGCAAGGCCGAAGTACGTCATTTGCCTATCTACCTCAGATCTACGTCTTGGGGACAGAAAAAATGACTCAAGAAGTTGCTGACTTGTTATCTAGTTTCTGAATGGAGCTGGGCAGAGCTCTAAAGACCGGGTCGCGCTGAGCATGATCCAAATTGTATGGCAGGTCCTTTCCATGACATACCGGGATAAATGTCTCACACTCCATACAGGCTGAAGAGCACGGATTCCTAAGACCTCATTCCGGGGACACCATCTACGAAGGCACTTCTGGTTCCACGGGAATCTCCCTAGCCTCTTTGGCACGAGCCAAGGGTTACCTGGCCCATATGTTCGTATCAAGTCGATAGCCACCGCATAGTCATATACTGACACAGCCATAGCTGCATGCCATCCGACCAGGCTATTGAGAAGTCGAATCTGTTGTTGAAGCTGGGGGCGATAGTGGACCGCGTGCCACCGGCCCCCATTGTCGAAAAAGATAATTTCGTCAATCGCGCACGCTCGCTTGCCCAGGAACAAACTGCATCCTCCACCGCTAGCGGAAGAGGATTCTTTGCCGACCAATTCGAGAATGAAGCCAATTGGCGAGCCCACTACAACGGCACAGGGCCCGAGATTTATGCTCAGTGTAACGGAAAATTAGACGCCTTTATTGCTGGAGCGGGCACAGGTGGCACCATCTCCGGTGTGGCACTTTTCCTGAAGCCGCGCATCCCCAATCTCAGTGTGGTCCTAGCCGATCCACAAGGCAGTGGGCTGTACAACAGAGTCCGTTACGGGGTCATGTTCGACCTCAAAGAAAGAGAAGGCACCAGGCGACGTAGACAGGTGGACACCATTGTCGAGGGCATCGGGATCAACCGAGTGACAGCTAACTTCGAAGCGGGCAAGGAGCTGGTCAACGACGCTGTTCGGGTGACCGATGCACAGGCCTTGGCAATGGCTAGATGGCTTGTAGAGAAGGACGGTTTGTTCGTGGGTAGTAGCAGTGCCGTAAACTGTAAGTCTTTCCCAATGATCTTATGTTCACCGGATTGTGGCTAAACCACCCCACTACAGGCTTCGCTGCCGTCAAGACAGCAATGAAGCTTGGCCCCGGCCACAGAATTGTGACGGTTCTGTCCGACTCAGGGTCACGCCATCTCTCACGGTTCTGGGCGAAGGCAGGAGACGTCGGGGGCGCGGTTGATACCAAGCTTGAAGATGTGTTAAATGCCACGGATGCCACGGATGAGGAGTAAGCGCGTGATACGTCAAGCCCACAATTGATCCACGAAAATTAGCCGGGGTCCACAATGAAGGACAAAGACACGGCAAGAGCATGAAGAAGGTTGATCCCTGGAGAGGCGGCGAAGGCCAAAAAGCTACTTCCACTTATGGTTACTGCAGCTAGTGTCTGACAGGGGGTAGAATTTGTTCAGCTGCCGCCCAATCCGACAGTCTGAGATCTACTCGGTTTCATCCGGTTGTGCTATGATAGCAGAACGCCATCGCTCGCTTCATCCGACCTAGTGGGTCACGACACGAATCTCGGGATCTGGAAACTTGACGTGCCGGGTCCGATCGGCCCCGCTGACGGACTGCATGTCAGAATCGGGGTCCTGAGTCAGTTGTGGTTCATCTGCTATTCGATTCGTCGGGACCGATCAAGCCTGCCGTCCAATCATTATGGTTGCTGAAGAGCATCACAGTGTATCGGTGCCAGCCCAGAGCTGCAACAACTCGAATTCGATCTCGGCATGGGGTCGGCCAGGTAGCCCTTCGCGGATCGTGGTCCAGCTGAGGCCCTGTTGCTCTTTGAATTTGCCCAGAACGGCCCGCTCGGCCTCCGACCAAGGCTTGGACAATGACGGTGGATTGGCCCGGCGATCACTCCAGTGATTGCGATTCCATTGGATAAGCGAGGTCAGTTTGGTGTGCGGAAGGCAGTCGAGGATCTCGTTCCATTTCTTCCCCTGTACTTGTCTCATTGTGATGATCAGTCTCGCTTCATCGGGCTGGATGACATTTCGAGCACGTTTCTTAGTGGGAGTAGAGTTATCATCCACTAGTTCGTTTGCGCGCGAACCTGTTAGAATGTTTGGTGTGATAGATGTGGTAGTCTTGGACTTCGACTTCGGAGTGGGCTCTTTGACCAGGGTATCGAGTCGGCGGGTCACCTCAGCCCGATCGTGTTGGCCGTCGAAGGGTCTGGAGGCAATCTCCCTGAAATGGGTAATGTAGCCGTGGCGCACGAAAACCTGCTTGCAATCCGAGCATTGATAGTTCAATTGACGCGGCGTATAATGTTCTTTCACGGGTGTCTTTCCGCGGACATGGATGCTCCGCTTAGGAGTCGGCGACGGTTCGTAGTCTTCCTGCAACGGGTCGTCGGACTCGTCTCCTTCGGGGGTTTCTGCGAAGGACCAGTCGCAGACCACGGGGCTCGACTGGGTGACTTTCCGCTGCGGTTTGATTTTCGTCGTTGCCCCTGCCTGGCTCTTCCGTGGAGCCCGTCGCGACTTCTCAGGCAATGACCATAGGGAGCCAGCTCCCGGTGGAGACTGCGAGCGAACGCGATACACAGTGGACGCCGCCGGACGTGACCTGTTCCATGTCGGCGTGGAGAAGCTCGCGTTGATTTCAGGCACCCGCCATAGCTCCTCCACCGCCTCACTGCGCCTGTTGCCGTGTGATTGGGCAGTTGCTTCAGCCGCAGGTTTTGCTTTTTCGCTCACGAGTTTGGTGGTGGTGGTGGTGGTTGATTGATCCAGGATGCTCTCGATGCGTAGCGTGTTATCCAGCAAGGAGTCCACACTAGCCCCATCGTCGTCGTCGTCGTCATCATGACTAGGTAGATTCGAGTCACGTTTGCCGGCATCTTCATTCCCATCCGCCGGGTGGTGCTGAATCCGCAACCCAGCCTGCGGTTCCTGGATCGACGGCAGCACGGGAGATACAGGCCGTGAGCGATCATCATCCGGAGCCTCATAATTACCCAATCCCGCGGCCTCCTCCTCACCCGACAAATGACCACGAGTTTTAGGTAGGATTCCTTCCTCCGACGCGACAGACCGCTCCTGCTCGAGTCGCCGCCAATCTGGTTTTGTCGTTGTGGAACGGGGGTCATCATTTTCGGCTTCTTCCTCCTCCGCCTCTAGTTCTTGGATATGCCCATTATTCACAATGATTTTGCCCGTCTGTAGATCGATCTCATCGCCCACGTCCGTAAAGTCCCGGCCGTATTTCTCGAAAATGCCCTCGAAGATGGACTTCAGGCGTTGGTCGTTCTGCGCCCGTGCTTCGTGGAGGTCGATGTCTCCCCCGCCGTCTTCCTCGGGTTCAACTGGTAATGCGAATCGGGCGCGCTTGTTGGGTCTCCCCATTTTTTTGTAGAGAGGTTGCAAGCTGGTATCAGCTATCAGAGGTTTGGAGAGTATGAGAAGAAGTGTTGAGTGTTGAATCTGCGGAGCAGGGACGCTGAATGTAGGATTTTTGGTTTGTGCAGTCGCGACTTCGAAGTAACACCGCTCAATCTTATGAACTGTTAGCTTGTGTTTCTCTGGTTGTAGTTAGAAAGGGAAGGTGCACAGTTTAAGATAAGGAAAGAGTCAACGAAAGGAGGAGGGGGAGTATGGCCTACATAGACGGTCAATTCTTCAAGTGAGAGTATGCGCTTTCATTCAACGACAGGGAGGTTGCAAATCGGTGGCACAAGGCAGAGGACTAATTGTTGGTCAAAGAAGGTAGATAATCGAAACCATCGGTCGCCAGCCTGGGTTCTGGTGTGGTTTACCTTGAGGTGAAGCACGACCAATGCCAGCTCTTTTCTGAAGGGCCCCCGCGGACGACGCCAAAAACACGCGGCGCGCGCACCCGCAATTCACCACCACCTCCACCACCGCCGGGTGCCGCATGACGTCTCGTCTGCCCCTGCCGAACCGACGGTTACACTCGACTTAACAGTCAGTCAGTTCACTTACTCTTACAACAACACCCTTGATGTCCCTCTTCCCTTCACCTCCTCTTCTCCACGCTGAGCTAATACCCTCAACTTATCCAGACGAGGATGAATGAGAAGTTGTGGTCAACATCTTCGCAACCATGTATTGCCAGAACTGCCGCACGCCTCTCAAACTGGACGGCTCTCTCGAGTCGCTCAATCCCGCTGCCTTCGACCTGCTAGTCGGTAAGTGCAGTGATCACATTCCTCCACCATGTGTATCTCTCCAGCACTTAACTAAACATGCACGCCTTCTGTAGGCTCTACGGGTAAATCCGTCCCAGAACATGGCGCCCACTCTTCTTCCAAGCCGAGCTACCCGCAAGAACGACGGGAGCTCTACGACCGGGTGTCCAAGCAATCCACGGCCCCCGTGTACAACCGAAGATCCATCCCCCCTCCGCGGCAGGCGGCTCGCAATCAACCCCATCCTGCGAGACTCGGTCGCGGCGATAGCGGGAACATGTCGTTCGTGATGCTCACCGAGTCGCAAGTCGGACCGCCTCACGGGATGATCCCCGGGACGAATGGGAACGGCGACGGCTCGTCACACGGCATCAGGCCCGGCGGCAACCCTGCAAACCATGACCATAGTCGAGGAGACATCGACGACGGGTCGTTTGCAGACCAGGTCGAACGAACCGCCCGGCTGTTTGACATCATCTCCGCCCGTTCGGACATTGATCACCCTATCTGTCTGGAATGTACCGATCTCCTAGTGGAGGGGATGGAGAAACGGCTGGCAGACGCGAAGAAAGAGCGAGATGCATATAGCTCTTTTCTGCGCGATCTCAAGTCCTCGGTCCCGACGACGGAGGAGCTGGACGCCGCGCAGCAGTCTCTACAGGAGACGCTGGCTGCGGAGGAGGCTGCCTTTGCGGAGCTTGTGGCCCTCGAGAAGGAAAAGGCCGCCTTAGATGAGGAGATCGCCGGACTGGAGGATGAATCCCGTCAGCTGGATCTTGAGGAAGAGAAGTTCTGGCGGGATCGCAATGCCTTCGCCCTCACGCTTTCCGAGTTCCAGAACGAACGCGATGCGCTGAACATGAAGTATGACCATGATTCCCGGCAGCTGGAGAGGCTACAGAGGACGAATGTCTACAATGATGCTTTCTGCATCGGGCACGATGGCTACTTCGGCACAATCAACGGGTTGCGACTCGGTCGCTTGGCTAACCCGTCGGTCGACTGGCCAGAGATCAACGCTGCTTGGGGACAGACGGCTCTGCTGCTGGCGACCATTGCTAGCAAGCTGGGGTTCCAGTTCCAGGGGTATCAAATCAAGCCGATGGGCTCGATGTCTCGGATTGACCGACTCGAACCGTCCCGAACATCTCCGGCTCAATCCGTGATCGGTGGAGGCAACCCAGGGGCATCGATGGCGCATAAGGTCACCACGCTGGACCTGTTCTCGTCGGGCGAGCTGCCGCTGAACCTGCCGTGGCTTCACCGCCGGTTTGACGCCGGAATGGTGGCTTTTCTGGAATGTCTACGTCAACTGGGCGAGTTTGTGGAGAAGACTCCGGTGCCGGCGGCCTCGAATCGGCGAGGTCACACGGCCACCGCGGTGACCGGTCTGAAGCTGCCATATGAGATCAAAAAGGACCGGATTGGCGATGCGAGCATCAAGCTTGGGTTCAACCAGAACGATGAGACTTGGACGCGTGCTTGCAAGTATACCCTCACCTGCTGCAAGTTCTTACTGGCCCATGCCAGTAATATCGCCAGTGCAGGCTCCAGTAACTCGGCTGTCGTGGCCGCTGCGGCCGTTGCAGCTGGAGAGCAGGCCGCCAGTTCTCCTACCAAATGAGACCATGTGGCTAAGTGGACCGACGCCGCGGCCGGAAGCGAGGGCAGCCCTCGAAGCACTTTGTGACTAGCAGTAGTCTAAATCCATCCATCCGAGCCAACGCTGTCTCTGGTGCTAGCTACAGACGTTCAGCGAAGTGGTATTTGTCAATTCCTGGCCAGCTCGCATTAACTGCCACGAAGTCGCCCTGCCTGGCGAGTCATTGTCTAGCCCTTGTCCCCTGCTGACTGGCAATGGCAACAGGGTCTTCGGTGCTGCGTTTAGGCTCAATTTTATTCTGCCTTGCGTTGTACTCCAGTAGCACCACCGTGAGCGAGCGTTGCACCCATTACGAATTGGCAAGTGATCAGCACCACCGCGCAGTAGTCAGGCTCCGTCGACCGTTTACTATTCTAAGGTCTATGTCTCTGGCCAACGGCCAGATCGCGCGGGATGTCCTCCTCGATAGGAAAAAGACAAGCGCTCGACGCAAGCTCCGGTGAGAGAAGGAGAAAAGGAATTTCCCAGCAGAAAGGAGGATCAACAGAAAAGCCGGTTTGGATCGAAGAGAGGGTTTGTCCGTAACAGGGATACGCAGTGGGCCGCTGCATGGCTGATAACTTTTTCTCTGAATGTTATTCTTGGGACTGGCTGCTGGCTGCTGGCTGCCTTGGTCGAGCAATGTGAGGAAGGACGGGAGATCGTCCTCTAGTCTGCTTGCCTGCCTGACACATTTGATCTGTAGCGACTCGCGAGACAAGAGTTTCTTTGTCTGGATAGTAATAGTCTCTCTGCCTCAGTTCCTCACTCTTCTCCTCTCCCTGGGTTCCACAGGAAGGACAGCACTCCATCCAGCCCTGGGCACTGTACCCGGTGATTATTTCTTTTGCAGACTTGGACCTGTAACCCTCCAATCAGAGCTCGCTTTGAAGACAGATGGAGTATACTCAGATAGCCCTGTCCCATTTTTTTTTCTTTTTTTTAGTGCATAGCAAGACGAGAACAAAGTAACCCGAAAACAAAGACAAGCACTGGACTATAAAATAACAAAGCCACAATTAGACTCTCGGATGAGATGGGATATTACACTCCGCGATCGACTAGTGGATCAGTACGTAGAGCGATCATCCAACTCCTAATCAAGAATTCCAACAGTCGGGCATTCGGACATCTCTGTAAAAGTAGTGATTGAGAAAGGGAATGAACGTTTCGGGCCGCGTCAGAGAAGGGGGGAACACGAGGGCGAGTCTGTTGCGGTTCCTTCCACTGATGGTTGGTAAGTGTGTTTCTGGTAACTACTGTGCTTAGCCCTGAGTACTTACTAAGTTATTCCCAGTAAGTTACTGGTCTGATCGGCCCTGGAATCCGATCTGGAGATCTGCTAGTGACCGCCCGAATCAGGTCACCTTCCCCTTTGGGGGTGTTTGTTTGATTCCCGAGTCCGAGGTCAGTCGCCCTTTGATCTCTCTGTTCCATTGTTAGAAATAGACTCATTTCTTGTTTCTCGTTCTCGGGATCCAGTACCTAATTCCACTAGAGAGGGCAGATAAGGTAAGTTAGAGTATGTCCGGAAAAAGTTACTGGTCATCCGGCCTGCCCGCTACAATAACATACCGCCTGCACCGGTGCACCCACTCAATACACAATCAGTCTAGACTGCACTGCACTGCAGGCACTGCGCAAAGGGATCTAGACTACTAAACTTACTAGATACCGTAGACTACAGTTTCAAGTTTGAACTAAATCTCATCCACCCAAATACAACAAGGTATATAGTACAGTTACAGCACCGTGGATACGTAGGGAGTAAAAGCCCACCCGTCAAATCCCATACACACGCCGTGCACAAACTAAGACCTGGGATCTCATCATATTCCAGTCTTTACCCCGGTAGAGTAACTCCCCAGACCTGCTCATAGATGGGCGGAGGAACCATCGGAAGGCCCGATATGCAAATCCACCTACTGACTTTACTGACTTACATACGTAGTCAATGTACTGAATCAAGGTAAAACATACTAACATACTATGTAGCCCGGCAGCATCAGCATGCTCACACTACTCTGTACCTAGATCTCGATCTCGACAGACTCTGGCCTCTGTGACTCCGCCGTTTGCCTTTTCCTGGCTGCAGTATGTTTTGTTGGCTTCCGGCGGGGAGAGGGAGCGTGAGAAGCCCTTGCTTGGGATTGTGCTTTTGTGTGGTGTGGTGTGGTGTGGTGTGGTGTGGTGTGGTGTGGTGTGGTGTGGTGGGTTGGGTTTTAGATGTTTGTGTACTGTACTGTACTGGTGCCCCTAAACGCTACTTGGTATTTGGTTGGTCGTTTGGGTACGATGGTCGTGAGGTTTCGGTGGTGGTGCTATGGGATGGAGATTGTGGTTTAGTGGAGGATGATGCATGTGTTGATGGTATAATGGGGCATGGGGGGGGGGCCTTTTTGCTTGCACGCTGGGGTTGTGCTTATGCGGTTGGTTAGTGTTGCTTCTTAGGACTGTACTTGGGTATTCAAGAGTAAGGTTCTCAGTTGGTTGGAGATGACGGACGTGACGGTTGTTAGTATATGGTTAGTTTCAGTGACAGGTAGATTGGCCCGTGATGAGATCTGAGATTGTGCTTGGATCAGTGCGGAGAACCGATTTAGTACTTGGTGACAGGCGCACGGCGTCGGCGCGTGTAGTACTCCACGAAGCGAACGAGGTACGGTACCCCGGGCCTACTGTGGTGGTGGGTAACATGAGCAGGGCAATTAAAGTCGAGATCTGGAGCTGGACATCTCACGCGAGGAACAAATCTACTTGTAACAGTCGTGGATGGGAAATGGGCGGGAGGGAGGGATTTAATCTACTGCACCCCATACAATGTGAGGAAGGAGACCGGACGAGCCAATCAATTGCATGGCCCTGGATGTCTACATGCAGCCCTCGGGAGTACACTCAGCCTGCCCTTAGTGTCAGTCTTGAGCGCCGTCAAGATTTACTCGACGCGGTAGTACTTTAGTCTCTCCCTCTTCTCTCTTTCTCTTGCTATATCGCCGTCAGCAGCAGCAGCAACAACAGCAGCAGCAGCTAACAATCAATGCAAGGCAGAGACACGCTGTGGCTGACGCATAGTTCTTCGTCATCAGGAACCTGCGCGTTTTCTCACCTTGTCGGTGGTGACCACCTTACCTCATACAGATACAGGGGATGCATTCTCTGACTTTACCGAACGTCCGGCGTTGACTCTGGACATGGACACCTGTGTAGCCGATACAGGAGACAACCGACCGAAGCATGTGAGCTGAGTTGCCTGCGGCCGAGCGACAGACTAGACACCCAGTAGATAGCCTCTTGGTCGCTTCTACGGCATTCTTCCGCGTAGGACCTCACGCTACCCTCCTCCGCCCACCCCCGGTTCCATTCTATCTCATCTACCGTCAACCGTGGCCAGCTACTGGCCAGCCACTGATACTTCGGCCGGTAGGTCAATTCGTGAATGCGCGCGAATTTAACTCCCCTTCATGGGAATTGACGAAGCCCCGTCGGCCGCAACTGCCTTCTAAGAATTGAGTTCTGAATGCGAGCACAGGTAGTATAACTGTACGAGAGCCCTGAGTGTGTGGCACATGGCCGCCCATCGGCCGAATTCCTGGAATACTTCTGACTGGTCAGTGAGAAGAGAGAGAGAGAGAGAGAAAGAGGCAGCTCGCATCCGCCATCAAGAAAGGCCCCCTGAGGGTTGGAAGGAGAATGTAAAACGGAAGCAAAGGCCAGGGGAAACAATAGCTAACTTCTCGCAGACCGAGACCCATGCTTTCGGGGGTGGAATGGCCTGACCCTATGACCTTTCCTGCAATGCGGTATCGGAAGATTGATGACAGGATAGCCGTTAATATTCTTCCTGATTTGTACCGGTACTAGACATGAAGGTAGGCGCAGAGTGAGTGAGAATTGGCGATGGGCTGTCATTGTTCTCCGGAGAAGGCATCCCCACACCCATCCTCTTTTGTTAGCCTGTGCTTTGGTCGGAGACCCTCCATGCGCCTGGCTGATGTCATCAGTTACCAAGTACCAAAAGTCCCAACTCTCAATTTGTTGTTTGTAAATCTTGCAGCCAAGCAGGCTTTCATCCATAGTCTAGTGGCGAGGGTAATCACCAAAGTTGGCTAGAGTTGAGAGGGAGGGGGCGAAGAAAGACGAAGGACAATGATGGGTGAAGAAGAACTTACTTTCTGCTGAGTACGAAGTAAGGTACGGTTAGTGAAGATCAAGAACGAGGATTGCCCACTGCACCCCCCCGCCCCCCCTGGAGGAGGGAAAGAGTAACTTAGAGAATAATGGATCATGGATGGATGGATAAATGGGTGAATGCCAAATGGATGATGGATTGGTGCTCAGGCCCATTCGGTAAGCTGAACAGGAATGGCCCACTCGTCCATTCATCCACTAACTTACTGAGTACATACGTACTGTCTTGTATGTTTGCATCCCCGTCAAGTCTTTTGGTTCAATCAACGGGCGGACCTCCGATCCGAGCCGCCAACATGACGGGCCGAACGTTCCCTGGTCTGTTCCAGTTCTCGAATAATTTATTTAGTAGCGGTTACAGTACATCAAGTTACTAATTATGGTTGGGATGACTGGGGGGGGAAGGGGGGGGGGAGTGGATGATGACGACAAAGAAAATGACTTACCAGCAGTTTTTATTGAATAATACTCACTTATCAGTCTCTGCCGGATCTGGATAGCGTCCAAGCCACAGCGACGATGAACCTGAAGGTTTTGCTCTTCAAAGCTCAGGCCTCATTCTAGCTCCCCATCGGGGCATGATCCCACTTTGCCACACCGGTCAGCGGCTTCCCTCGAATCATGCCTGACAGCCTCCCATGATTTGTGTAGCTCGCGTTTGGCAGTGATGGTTCATCTATCGGGAATGATAGAACCATGAAGATCCGAACATGCTTGTGGTTGAATTCGGGATGAGTATTCATAGAAACCGACAGTGGGTGCAGTGCTGGGTCGTCGCAGCGTGTGTCCAGGCCCTTTTTGCCCGATTGGGCCCTAGAGCGTTTCGAGAGCGCAGGTTGGATTCTGGCGCCAACCCGACCAGGATGAGGCTAAGGAGTAGTTAAGTACTGGCCGATCCAGTCGTGAGCGTAGTCAGATCCCTGCCATGCATAAAAAGCACTGTGCTTTGGTTCTTTTGGATTTGGGATTTGGGATTTTCATCCAAGGGAAAGGAATCTGCGGAAGAAGCACGCGCGACGAGCAACAGCAACAGTCAGGTAACTATAGCAGCGGAACTATGATCCCCAGTAGATGCACCTGCAGAATTGGCGCAGGACTGTCTGTCTGGAAGGGATCACCATCATCTGGGTCTATTCTTGTCTGTCACTTTGGAGAGGGTTCATGTTCCGCATTGCCTCAGAAAAGGAGGGGCGTGAGAATAGTTGTTTGAATTGTTTGATACCCAGCTTGAAGGTTCTCATGGTGGTCTGAACCTTTTTTTTTCTTCCTTTTCTCTTGTTCTTCCTTCCTTCTCTTCCCACCACTAAGGATACCTATTTGCCCATTGCTCAGACATCGGCAGAGTGGACGAAAATGGTAAGAGGTCTGCCGTCTGTCAGTTGCTCGACACACTGAAACGGTAGGCGGGATATAAGTTAGTACTAGGTACCTACCCAGTAGGTTAGGAGGCAAGTACTGGCTGTACCGTGGACATACATACGTACGTATGTTTTCAAAGGATAAAGGGGGGGTGGCGCCGCAGACAGACGGGAACGTGACAAAAGTACACGGACCATGTCCAAAGGGTCCGTGATTGGGGCGCGGCAGCAGGGATCACAACATCCGCGGGCTTTTCCAGCAGCACCAGCAGCACGTCGCCGCATCAGGCAAGCGGATGTCTTTACTGCCTCGCCAGTCAGCAGTCGTACTTTTTATCTAGCGCGGGTAATAGTGGCCCGGGGTGGATCTTACCCCGGCGGCGAACCACTCCCCGGTTGCCCTGTGCCTCTTTGCTTTCCATCCATCAGTCAGTTAGTTATTGGATGCTCTTTTCACATCTCCCCTCTCCCCTCCACTTGATACGACCTAGTACTGAGCTGAGTCCTCGAGATACTCCAGTATTCAATGAGATACCGACTGACATACCTTATCCAATGACAATCATCTACAAGAACATTGTACGGTCCAGTACCTACTAGGTACCTAGTAGCCTTCTCAAATCACCTGGGACCTAATAGGGTCTAACTCACTGGCTTCAGCCGTTGTATTCCCACCGTGAAATGGATGAAGGAGGGAAGGATAGTTGCCGGTCTTTGTTTGTTGGCAGCGTTTGAGTGGAAGATAGACAATCATAGTTCTAGCTCAATGTCTGTAGCTTAAATGAGAAGTCTGGATGCTCATTATTACGAACTTCCTTCCAGACAGTTCGTAGTTGGTGGAAGCAGGGCGGTACCTACAGTATAGTAGGTACAGTACCTAGTACTCATGCACTCAGTCCATACAGTCCAGTCCAGTCCAGTCCAGTCCATAGTAGGTAGTTCAGTTACAGTTCATACCTACCTAGAACTTTCCTTCCTTCCTTCCTTCCTTCCCTCCAGACTTGACCCGACCTGACCTGACAATTGCAGTGACTGGGGTCATAATTTCTTTTTGGTTTTCTATTTTTCCCATCGCTTTTCTGGGTTTTTCTTTTTTTTCTCTTTTTCTTTTTCATTTTCCTTTTCCTTTTCTTTTTTTTCTGTTTCCTCTTTTCGCTTTTCTCTTTTCCTGTTTCTTTTTTCGGTGTTGGTTCCGTTTTCTCGAATTGCAGCATGTTCAGAAAGCAGTAGCAACCGGAATAATCAATAATCTCGTGGATTATATGCTGAGGGAGTGACAGCTACTATCATCACGACTATTTCCGATTTCTATCCACTCTGGGGGGTTTCCTCCAAGCCAATCTCGCTGGTGACTGGGGCAAAGCTTCATCGCCTTGACTGTTCGACACCGTGACACCTTCAACTCTTCTTTCTTCTTCCCCTCCTCCCCCCTCTTGCTTCCCTCTTGATCGCCTCCAAAACTACTATATCATTGTATCTTCCGTCCATTTTCCCGGCCGCAACTGACTCGATAACGCTTTCTGGCATTGCATCGGACCACATCTACAGGATCGCTCTTAGTATCTACTTCCTTCTGCTGCCACGACTGAAAAGATCCTCTTTCGGCTCTCATTTCCGCGCTACCGCTCCTGAACGCCTCTACTTCTACTCCCTTACCACCATCACCACCATTATCCACTCCTCCGTTCCCCCCCCCAGTATTTGGTCCCAGAGTCCACAGTCCGCAACAGCCCCGTTCTTTCAGGACAACTAACTGTGGTGGAGGCGCAACTTTCAGTCCATCAATTCGAAAAGGGTCCAGACTGGATCCAGAGTATGTAAGGCGGAGAAATTACGCAGTCACCAATTCAGGATGAATGGCTCCCTGCCTCCCGTTTCTTCCATTCCCTCGACTACCTCCACCATCAACAACAACTCCACCACCACCACAACAACAGCAACAGCAACAACCTCTTCTACTTCCACGACCGCCAACAACACCACCACGACAACACCCACCCCTACCATCTCTTCTTCGTCTTCCTATAAAAACAAGTTTAAACCTCGAAAATCCGAGGATTGGACTTCTTATCGGGAGATCATTCAAAGTCTTTACCGCGATGATCATTTGAAGCTTCGTGATGTGAGGCAATATATGCTCGAAAATTATAGCTTTGAAGCATCGTATAGCCTTCCGTTTCCTTTTCTCAGTCTTCTCCCCTGACACTTCTCTGCCTGTCATGCTTCCACTTGCTGTCTTGACTCTCCCCGACCCTGCCAGTGCAAGAGCCCCCCCTTTCTGCATCTGTAACAAAGATCGAGAGAAAGGATGGTACAGTGCGCGCTGATCGTCCTCGCTTTTTGCTTTTTCTCCCCAAGTCTCCACCCATGAGTACCACTCATTTGACAACCATCCCCTGACTTGGAAGCTTATAGAGAAAAACAATACAAAGACCGCCTGGCTGCGTGGAATGTTCGCAAAAACATCAAGGCCAAAGAAGTCCATATCATGCTCCGCAAGCAACAAAGGCGAGCTGCAGAGGGCAAGCGGACGGCGTTTCGAGTGGCTGGCAAGACGGTCGACACGAAGCGCATCTCCCGCTTTGTCCGTAGATATGGCACCCACTGGGAATTGGATGATGCTCGTGAGAGCATCCATCCACATACCATCCACCCGAGCGTGGAGAATCAACCAGCGATTCCGCAAACGCAGCAAGAGTTACACCAAAATCTTCCCACCAGCCCTGAGCCAGGTAAGCTTTTCGGTCCCGAGTGACTTGTTGTGTATGCATCGCTCATGCTGCGTCACAGAGACCCCTACAGACATCGAATACTACACACCGGAGCCCGATGAGAGAGCTATGACCCTGTCGCCCTCGACCGAAACGCCATCTCGTTTTCGTGAGGAAGCCCCGCCCCGCCCTTGTAGCATCTGTCCTACAGTGCTCCTGCCATGCCGTTTGCATGTCTCAACGAGCATCGCGCTTCTAGGTAGGAGAGCTAAACTAATCAAGTAAATGCAGACGATGAAAAGCTCAAGCTCGAGCCACTCCCCGAGCCGGAAGTGGACCATGCCCAACCTCTACCGGTTTCACCTACTCCCTCCGCGCCACCCAAGCCGCTATCCAACGCCCTCCCTGACGAAGACTACTGGAAGGCGCTCGATGTGTTTCAAGGCCAACTCTTGACTCTGTCCAGGACGCTTGACCAGACCATGTCTCAATTCACTTCTCCGCATGACGATCTATCACAGTAATATCCCTTCTTCGAATCGCCGATACCCCTCTGGCCGATGACCTGCCGCTTCCACCAGTCACACCTTCGATGGTATGATATGTATGTTTGGAAACTGTCCGGCCCTTGATGCAAGTTTCTCATCTTTCTGCTCTAAGCCCAGGCAATTAGCTTGTCTTGTGCTTCAGATGATGTTGTGATCACTACCAATTCATCGCCACTTCGCGTTCTGCATCACTCCCCACTGTCAGACTTACAACTTCACATGTCCTTTTTCTTACTTTGCAAATTGCCTACTATATAGAGCATCTATGGTCTAGTTTTATTGGGAGAAAAGGTCTAGTGTAGGACTTGGTACACCTAAGAAGATAAACGGGAGACATCTGGTCCGAGCTGGTATGTTTATCTAATGGTTGCTGCTTTAGTCACTGGCTGCTATACGGTTGCCTCGGCCTTCTACCTCACGCCTCTGGACCGAAGCACTATTAATGACCACGTTGAACGATTCACCAACGACTCAGCTGACGGCCACCATTGATGGATAGCCTAGAGCAAGGACACCATCAGACCCAACTTGATCGCGTGAGGTTTTTGGCTTGTGAAGTATCTAGCACGCGCGAAGGCTACAGTTGCAGTCCACTCCATCACTCATTCCGACCAGTCAGCGCCATGCAGCGACCAACCTGGCTCTTCAAATCGACAGCCAGCCTTTGCTGCGTACCGATTGAGATGCCAAAGTTCGGGTCCGGCGTGAGAGTCTTCTCACCATGCCTTATGCTCCACACCAACTTACGCCAAGTCTCTAGACATGCTGCATTTGCCAAGAGAGTTGCTCGAGCCGTCTCGACGCACGTTAGACTCTACCCAGGGAATGGGGAAGGATGCTACGATTGAAGGGTGGTTAGGGAGGATAGGCAGACAACAGCCGACCCGGACTGAAAGAAGATCGATTACAACAGCAGCAAAGAAGGATTAACGCAGACATGCAGACTACAATCGACACTTTCCGAACAACTTCTTACGTTCGCCTCAATATACCTCGCGTCTCGACCTACACAAATATTTTGCGATAGTATTGACATGGTCACCGCCGAGTCATTCACCTTTTTTCGAGAACCCACCGGAATCAGCATGCCCGAAGTCTTTTCGTCAGTCCGACGAGCGCATTGACGCATGATAGTTCCAGACTGAACCATGTCAAGGGTGCATGTACATTCAGACCTGAAATCCGGTTTCTCGCATAAACCAAGTCCGCCAATCAGCTTGCAGCAAAAAGGCAAAAGGGGGTCTACACATGTGGGAGTGGACGGTGGAGGAGGGGTGGGATAGTGCGCAAGTCTAGAAGTACAGGGCGATAAAATGGTACTTTTTTTTGCGCTGCTCCGGCGGCAGGTGCTCAAGGCCTGCCTCCCACACAAGTGCAATAATCGGTCTGTACATACATATACTGTACTAGAGGATTAACCCTGAGTACCTCCAATGAATCGCTAAAGATAAATCAATGATGGTTGGTGCCAGAGAAAAGGCATCTGCTGAATTGAATACTGTCCCGTGCAGTCAGTCCATATATGTATTCAGGTAAAGACGATCTGATCGCGCCCCGAGCTGCCGATCAGTGGTCAATCATATCTGCTCGGTGGGAACAGGGAAGGGTACTTTGTGTCGGGAGAGTCTGGAGTAGAAAG